TTTTTTTTTTTTATTTTTTTTTTTTTATTTTTTTTTTTATATTTTAACATTTCTTAATAAAATTTCTGACTCTGTCGATACTTATATCAGGAGTCTGATGTCAACTTCACCAGATGCTGGCCAACTGATAGCTCTACTTCAGAAACTGATAAATGCCAAAAATACTATTGAAATTGGAGTCTTCACTGGATATTCTTTGCTCCTTACAGCACTTACAATTCCACAAGATGGCAAGGCTAGTTCATCTCACTTTTAAATAATATTTTCTCAATTTTAATTTATTTATCTTAGTTTTGTTTTTAGAAAGAATGTTATTTTCCTTTTTTATATATATAATTTTTTAATGTCAAATGTACATGATATGTTTAATACTATAAAATTATAAAGTAGTTTGATACAATTTTTTTAGAAAAGATTAACCTAATTTAAAATTACAAGATTAATTAAAAAGTGTTATTTATCTTCTTAAGGCTAAATACCTAAATAGCCCCAGCACAGTAACAACTATAGCTAGTAAGCTAGTATACACGTATTTGCCCGATTGCTTTAACAAATGCGTTACCTCCTGGTTCCCACCTATCTTGTCCAAAAAGTAAGGAACTCATCTGAAAAGTAGATTTGCTAGTTCAGAACGTGAACTCAGAGAATAGGAGTATACAAGTGAACCACCTAGAATCGATCCATGACCACTAAACTAAAAAAAGGAGTCCTTTACCAAGTAATAAGCTAGGCAACCTTCCCTAGCTCGGACATGCCAACATCCAATACTTACTCTTTTCCATTAGAAAAATATATATACATTAATTTTTTAAAAATTTCATGTTAAGTCAAAACAAGACAAACAAATTGAAACAAAGTATTATTTTGATATATAAATATGGATGCAGATTACAGCTATAGACATGAACAGGGATACATATGAGATAGGATTGCCAATTATTCAAAAAGCTGGAGTTGAGCACAAAATCAACTTCATACAGTCATCAGCCTTATCAGCCCTGGATGAACTCTTAGAAGATGTAAGTATAAAACTTAAATTGTTTGACTCTCGAAAAACGAAATATGTCACGTAAATTGGGACAGATGAGTAACACATTTTCAATGAATAACATATTATATTATATATATACTTCAAACCTTTACTTATACATTATGTTATTTGCTTTAATTTGTTGTAGGATGCAAATAGAGAAAGTTTTGATTTTGCTTTTGTTGATGCTGACAAAGTTAATTATCAAAAGTACCATGAAAGATTGTTGCAATTGGTGAAAGTTGGTGGTATAATTGCGTATGATAACACTCTTTGGTTTGGGACAGTTGCTATGCCAGAAGAGTTTGTTAAGGAATCACAAAAGAGGAATAGGCTTCACATTATTGAACTTAACAAGTTTCTAGCTAATGATGATAGAGTTCAAATTTCTCAAGTCCCTTTAGGTGATGGAATCACCATTTGCAGGCGACTCTAAAGATTCTGAGGATCTATCAGAAATAATCTATTTATCCTTAAAAGTTAATGTTGAGCTTCAAGTTTATAATTCACCCTTTATCAATATAGACATGGGGGTAGCAAGTGTCAAATCCAAGACCTTTCGACTAGTCTGTTATAATAAAATATTGTTGAACGTGTGATCATCTCATCTAAATGTTTAAATTGTTAGAAAGAGCATAATTTCATTTACTTAATAGCATATCAACAACTCGGAATCGCAAAAACATCATTTACAAAATGTCACGATCCAAAAAATGAACGCGATGACACTTGTCTATTCCACTAAGACAAGTCATTCTCAATTCAACGAAACAAAAGAAAGGCGGAAAATAAAGCAAGAACAAGATAAATGCAGAAAACTTATTCATTCTATTAACACCCCATAACCTGGTTGTCACATCTACAAGCCTCTAATACAAAAAGTGCAGAAATGAAATATTTACATAGTCTCAATGTTTTAGTTTCTCAAATAGAACAAAGCATAACATAAAGGAAAAGAAGGTCCACCGGGATGACAAGCAGCTACCTCTCAATAGTCCTTTGACAAGCCTCAAAAAGTAGGGGAAGAAGGACGATCACACGGTACTGGGCTCAAAAGCTATACAAGTGTAGAAGAAAGGACTGAGTACCAATAACACGAAACCCATCAAGCAACCTAATAAACAAAGCAACCTAGCTAGAAATCGAATACTCCTTTCATCTTAACTGAACCTCTTCAAACTAAAACCTGCATAGAAATCAGCCCAACCTAACAGTTCTACAATACGCGGCTCACAAGACCTAATATTCACAGATCAACAACCAACATGAATCAACTAAGTCAATCTCAAATGACAAATAGATCAATAACAATCAACAAGTAGATCTATCACAATCAACATCTAGATCAATCACAAGTATCATTTCCCTTCTGCAATTGTCACTAGACAAAACCATTTCCCATCAGTTTCTTATCACATCACTAAACGGAACCATTTCTCTTCGACTTTATATCATTTTACTAGACAGAACCATTTTCCTTCGTCTTTATATTACATCACAAGCCGGAACCATTTCCCTTCAACTTTATATCACATCACTAGCCGGAACCATTTTCCTTCGGCTTTATCACATATCACTAGCCGGAACCATTTCCCTTCGGCTTTATATCATTTTACTAGCCGAAATCATTTCCCTTTCGGCTTTATATCATTTCACTAGTCGGACCATTTTCCTTCGGCTTTACAACACATGTCTCATCACAGTGTTCAACAAGCAATGTACATAACCAAATTCACACCACAAGGAAGAAACAAAGATTCGAGCAATTTAAATCCACTTTCAAGCCATCTAGACATTTCATCAATCAATCACATAGGGGCCACAACAAGGCAATTCACAAACCATCATTATCAACATGTTGCCTTTTTATTTACCCCTTTTTATTCGTTAAGATTAATCAAGTGAAAACAATAAACCCTTCACCTCATCTCCCATTACTCCCAACACACATACAATGAAGAGAAGTAGACAATTCTACTAGATTACAAAGCTTAAGAGATCACTTGCCTTAATGCAATCAATTAATCAATTCAAGGCTTGCGTTTTCCCTTTCGAACCACGCCCAAAGCTACACAGTCTATATAAATCAAGTATTCACAATAAATTTCCAGAAACAATAATACCCATATCAATTACTTTGAACAATTAATGGGTCAATCAACTCAAATTCGATTTCAAAATGAAGGTTTGAATCTGAAAATCAATACTTGAAAATGATGTTCAAAGCTTTAGGAACTCATTGGTGAAAACCATTTTGAAAAAAGGATCAAAATCAGGTCACAATCTCCATTTTAGTTTAGAACTTAAGTTCTTGAAAAACCAAACCATATGTCAATCAAAATCTCAAATTTTGATGTTACAATCCATAAATAATCAAAGGGAAATGATGTTTTAGGATCACAAAAGCTTACCCAAAAGATTTAGCACAAGAAATCTCTTCAAAAATCGCCTCCAAGAATTTTCCAAGTTCAAAAATAAAAAATATGGCTTAAACCCCATAATTTTAGGTTCAAAAATCCTCTCAGATCCGCTTAAGCGAACCCCGTAAAAATCTTGGACTTCACTTTCGTGAACCGGCCTTCGCAGAAGCGAAGGTCATGATCGCAAACAAGTCGTGATCGCAAGGGCAACACACCTGGACCTTTGCGAAAGTGACCTATTCCTCGCGATCACGAGGTTCGCAAAAGCAGGCACACCAAGTAATAGAAAACCAGCTAACACAAAAATCATTGAAAGGACCTTCGGAATTCGTTTAGAACCCCCTAAACATAAACCATATGATTAAATTGATTATATTCAATGTTTCGAACTCAATAAAACCGTCAAAATACGAATCCCGACATCCGTGAAAAACACAAGAAACTAACATACTGCCTAAAAATGCTAACTCAAGCTCAGAACCTCACAAAAATCAATCAAGACCTCACCAAGACCGAAAATCATCACCCGAATCCAACGGAACTCTCAGAATTTTGATCCAACCATCTTAACCCCGAATGTTGACCAAGTCAACCCAAAGGCTAAAATCTCAATAATTTCCAACTTAGGACCTCAATTTCTGAAAAGGGCTGCGGATCTAAAACCGACAAGTACTATACTAGATTAGATTCCACATTGTGCGACTGATAAATTGACGAAATTTCATTCAGACACTTGAAACTCCAAAAGACTCTGAACCCCACTTTTAAGTAACTTTAGCCTTTCCAAACCCAAAACTTACAAAAATTCTCAACTTTTTATTCAAAGCTTGGAAACCAACTTTCAAAATTCAAACATAAAGCACTTAGGATCGATATAGGGAGAGCAAAAAGGTAATTTAATGAAAATATTCAAAAATGACCAACCGGGTCATTACACAAAAGAAGAAAAATTGGCTATGTACTAGCTTGAAAGATACAAACCTAAGCTTTGGTGGGAATATGGTTCAACGTTCCTCCACCCTTAATTATAGGTCTCGAATTTGAGCACCATGAAGTGGAAAAAATCATGTTGGGAGCGCTTTCCACCCCACCCCCGAAATAAACTTTACAAAGTACAAATTCAAATTTAATCAGACCCTAATACATATACCGAAACACATTTGGAGAAGACCAAAAAAAAATGTACTACAAAGATTTGAGATCTAAACAAACAAAGAATCACATGTTTGAAGTGTTGAATTATAGTAGGGTGGTTTAGAAATATAATAGAGTTGTGCACGAGTAGCTTGTCCTGCTATGAATCCTTGCAGGAGCTGATTAAATTTATGCTTAATACAGCTATTCCATATATATATATATATATTCCGAATAATATGGTAGTGTAAAAAAGATATGTATGCTAATAGTGTATAAAACTTAAATAATAGAAATAGTGACTCGACAACGTCCATCTATATATGTATATCTTAGCTATTTTATAACACGCATAATTTTTTGTAACTCGGCGCACAAAGGTTTAAACAAACAAAAAAATTACCTCCCATTTTTATTTTCTTTATTGGAATTTAAATGTTGCATCTCTAACAATATATTGGAATTACCTAATAAGATTTCTCAGCGGGTCAACTTAATTGGATGATGAATTAAATAGTGACATCAAAAAGGGCAGTTGGGTAAAGCCACAACTAAACTGTTAAATACAATTATCCTTAAGTTTATATCACAAAAGTCAGGATGGCCGAGTGGTCTAAGGCGCCAGACTCAAGTTCTGGTCTTCGTAAGAGGGCGTGGGTTCAAATCCCACTTCTGACATTTTTTCCGCTTTTTTTTTGTTTAGGATTTATTCTCATTTCATAAATTATTGGCAACTCAATTAACTTTACACTTTTTTTTAGTCGGTCTAAAAAAAAATATTTTTTATTTGGTAATTAATTATTTAATGATATTATCAACATTTTACCACTGTTGGGTTTTGTTTATTCGGCAAATTTTTTTCTCTAGTTTAAGGGTAGTTTTGAAAACATTGCAATTTTTTTTTATATTTCTTAAACTATGTGCCAGTTAAATTACATTACATAAATTGAGACGGAGAAAGTAATAATTTTACCTTTACTAGAATTCAAACCTAAAACCTCATAATTCTCAACTCAGTTCTATGATCAATATGTTAAAATCTATCAAATTTGGTGAGTTGTAATATTTCTTATCTACAATTTGTTTACCAAAATCTAAGAGAGTCAGAAATAGAAGAAAATATTTTTACATTGTATAATTGCCCATCAAAATAATACTCATCAAATATATATTTTTGGTATACTAATCATAATATATCAAAATTAAATTTTCACTTTTAGTTGTTACGGAGCGATCATAATTACTTTCTCCATTCATGCTTATTTATGCACTATTTCAAAATTAGATTTTCACTTTTACTTGTTACTTTAACAAATTAATAAAAAAAAATAACAACTTATTTCCATCTTTTCCCTTTAGCATCTGTTAGTATTAATTTTGATAATCTAAATATTTAATTATAGTTCACATTTTTAAAAAAGAAAATGTTACATATAAACACACAATATGTCTCTACAGAATAATTTATATATGATTAATAAATAAACTCGATTAGAATAATTTTTGACAGAAAATTAAAAAAATTGAACATGTTTTATCCTGTCGATATGTCTCAACAATTATCATGTGGTTGAAACCAAAGGCATTTTTGGTGTCCCACCGTACAAGACATGAAATATTTATTACATGAATATTGTAAATGGATTCATGCATGTAGATTAATCTTTTAGTATTATTCTTTTAATAATTTGAGCATTTTAATTTTTGATAATAGGAATATAACTGTCTCTTTCCACTAGCAACATATATCAGGTAATATTATTCATCAAATTAGATAGATTAGATGAAATCGGGTGTGTTTGGTATATGGAGGAAAAAAATTTCTACGGAAAATTTTTCTTGAAAAAAAAGTAGTAGGTTTCTTACTTATTTTTTAATTAATGTATGATAGATAAAAAAAAAATTATTTCAAGTGTGTTCATATGTTAGCTAGTAAAACACTATGACGAAGGGATGTGTGCATGGTAGGGGCAGATCTAGGAGGGGGCAAGGGTGTTCAGCCAAAAAATACATTGTATAAGGATTAGTAAATGTGTGAATGTTATTATACATATATTAGAAATAATGTAAATATATATGCATAAATGTGAAAAGTAATGTATAAAAACGGTTTAAAGGGATATCTTTGTCATTTTATCCATTTTATCCGGAATTATTATACCACTCAAGGGGAGGGATAACTTGTCCCGATACTAATTATCAATTCTAAGATAAGTTATCCCGAACTAATTTCCAAGCAAACAACAAATTAAGTGACACTATAATTTAATTTCATCACTATTTGATGTTATCCTCCATACCAAATGACCCCGTATTTATAATTTTTGAATTATTTAAACACAAGACTAGAGGTTGGGTCAGTGATTTTGGAGGTTCAAAATTCACTTGAGATTCCAAATTTAAATCCTAGGCGCTACATTTTATTTTCCGAACTCTCTTAGTGAAGATCCTTAATTCACCATTGGAATTAGGGGTTCAGGGGTGGCAGGGGTTGGGATGATCAAGGATAGGGGGTGGGGGTGTTGCGTGGGTAGGTGGACGTGTGGGAAAGAGATAATGAACTTGTAATTACATTTATGTAAATTGTTTCACCTACTTTGATTAAGGAAAACTATTATTTCTCTTTTTTAAGGAACTTATTTCATAAAGAAAATATTTTGATCAACCAAACATTAAAAAGAAAAATCTAAAAAATATTTTCCTCCATACCAAACACACCTCGAATATGTTTGTCTGTTAAATTAATTTAAATCTGAAACTCCATAATTCTCAATTCACGAATCACTAAATCACATCCGTAGATGCTCAATTATTTGAACATAATTCATTGTACTATGATCGTACATTTACAAGAATCCGATTTGTTTGCTGCTTAATATTATCTTATTTCATTTGTCAGCAAATAAGATTACAGAATTATCATTATTAGTTATCTATTGATAGAAGCAATCAACACAAAAAAAATTCTCTTTTTATTTTTTTTAGAAAAAAAATAAGAAGGTGATTAGAAGGTGGGGAACTGATCAATAAATGAAAGTTTAATTAGTTAATTAATCGAGCTATTAAGATTTTCTTATGTATATTTTTTTTAACTATGATTTTTTTTAAGAGAATGAAATATTTTGAACACATCTTAAATATTAAACATATATTTAAAGAACTAGTTTTTTTTTTACTTGTATAGTTTGTACATGCCCTTTGTTTATGAAGTAATTGTCATTCTATTTTACTATGTTATTATAAGAGTTTAAAAAAAAATGTTACACAAAGCATTGCATATTAACAAAATTCAGAAAAGAGTCGCACCTCATGAATGAATATGATATCACCTTTGCAAGTGTGTATGTGTATCGTATATGACTTTATTTACTCCAAAAATATACGATACACAATTAATTTACTCAAAATTATATATGTTACTAGATATATATTAAATGCAAAAGGAATTAGAATGATGGTAGCTCTTGGTATTTATGTGCCAATTGGGTGAGAAAAGGTCCATTAATATAGGTATTTTCTTGCACATTTAAACTTACTATTCATTGAATTTGGAAAATTTGTTATTTATTATTATTTATGTTATTATTATCCGTAATTATTGTAACAAACTTAAAAAGTCTTTATTTCTATCGTGACTCAATAAAAATTTACAAAGGCAAAAGAGGAAAACTTATAAAGCTTCTAGAAAAGCAAAATTAAATGAGATTATCACCAAAAAAAATTACAAAAAAATTGATATATTTTTCACAAATGTAAAATAGAGAAGGATTATTTAAAATTTATTTAAATGTAAATGTAAATCCTTAATTATTATGTTGAAGTTTTATGCACTTTTAATAGACTCTAATTTAGAGTTAGTCGTTAGTGTTGGCGCTTAATCAAGTTTTAGGGAAAATTACGCGGATAATTAAACATATACTAGTTAATTTGTTAATATAGCTACATTTTAATTAAATTATCATTCGCCACTAACTTACAATCATAATTATGTGGCCCACGTCCAGAATTTGTATAACTCAGCTCCTAATTGTATAAATCCAGAATTTGTATAATTCGGTTTCTAATTGTATAGATCTAGAATTTTCTTAATTGTATGAATCAAAAATTTGTATATGCTTATTCTAGCTTATATATAATTATCTCGTCAATACATTTAATTTGTAAAAGTTCTGAAAAATTCCTTAAAATATAAATACATAATTTGCATATACTTACTAGAGCTGTCAAAATGGGCTGGCCCAACCCAACCCTAATGGGCTAGAGAGTTAAATGGGTTGGGACAGGCTGACCCTTTTAATTAAAGGGACTATAAAATAGCAGCCCAACCCAACCCTAAGCGGGCCACGGGTTGGGACGGGTTGGCCCTTAAACTAAAAAATGAACAATATTACTCTCTTAGAAAGAGTATCGAACGTTGACGTCTATGAACACGACATCAATACATACAAATTTTCATTTATGAAATCACACACTTTCGATAAATACTTACAAAAATACATTTATGAATCACACACTTCGGTGAATACTTACAAAAATACATGATAGTCAACGTAAGATTTAGCCGAAAAATGTTGATCATTCCACCATTCCTCCCACAAAAAACTAGCTAGTTTAAAAGACTTGATTTTTTATTTTTAAAAACATTTATTGATAAAAACTTTACAAATAAAACACTACTAAGAATATATATAAAAAATATTTTTAAATATTCATAGCCCACGGTTGGCCTCTGAGGTTTGCGGGTTGGGCCTACGAGGCTAGCTGGCCAAATGAGGTCGGGCTAAAAAGCCTCGTAATGGGCCAAAAAATTAGGCCCAACCCCACTTAATTCAAGGATTGGGTTGGGCCGGCAAAGCCCATTTTGACAGCTCTAATACTTACCTTATTTGTATTTTAGCAAACGGATTATACAGACAGATATACCCATAATAAACAAAACTATAGATATAAAGCGTAAATTAGACAAACTGTAGCTAAGAAAGCTTATTAAATTTTAATCTTTTTACTATTTATGAAATTTCCCCTAAATTTTATTGGATTGAGCCAACTGAAGGTTTGCATCCGTGCTTAGTACACATTGGCCCAATTAAATGTATGGATTGATAGTGTTAATTTTTTAAAGTCAAATTACATATATATTTAAAAGAAAATTTCATAAAAGGTTATAACATGTGTGTATATTATGTCGTTCTTCAAGACTTTTATTATTTACATAATAGTATTTTTTTTTTCTTTTGTTGTATTTGAGTTTTGGTGTAATTGTATCACAAATACTATTTATGTTATTATCAATAAATGTGCAACTCCTTAATTGGCACTAGTAATTAAGACAACAATGTGACCAATTATATTAATTTATGAAATTTACGTTATTGATTTGCTATAGAAGTGTAAACGAGATATCAATAACAATCTATCCCAAAATAAATTCAAAAATAAAATATGACGATTTTTATTTACCTCATTTCCTTTGTTTTCTTTTTGTTTATTGAGAATTGCGGGTTGAAGTATCAAAGTTAGTCTTTTGTTATGGTGTATCAACTATGTCAATCATTCAAGTTCTGATACGACATTTTGGGATCTAAAATGTAGAGAACAATTACATTGATTATTTAATTGATAGTATCATGATACCTTTCTAATATATGATGTATCATGACGATACATTATCATGATGCATTTTCGACAGTTGATGTATCATGATACCTTTTGGATACATTACTTAATCATACATTTTGGATACATGATATATCATAATACCTTTCTGATACATTACATAATGATACATTAAATTTCTTAATTCAAATTAATGTAAAGTCGAAACAAAAGTTATTAAGTTCACGTGAAATTCATGTTTTGTAGATTATGTCCGCCCTTAGTTGGATGAAGGGAGGTTATTGATATCAAGGATTAATACTAGAAGAGGGCTTGTTTTGCCATCAGCAAGAAGATTTATTTACTTAAGTATATTTTCAACGAAGTAGTTCATCGATTGGATATCCTCCCAATCCACACGTTTCACTCACTGAGCTATTTACTTAACTATACCTTCAACGAACCAATTCAAAAGATCCTCTTTTTTTTTCATTCCCAACCTAGGTTAACCTTTTTGTTCCCAGCCTTTTAGGTAGCAAGTGCAATTGTGTGATTATATATGGACATATATGAACAATAAAAATTAGCCGATCCCAACTTATTTGAGACTTGTGGCTTAGGCGTACTAGTAGTCAAGTTTGTCCATTGCTTCAAGCAGAGGCATACCCAGGATTTAAGAGTTCGGGTGCACCAATATTATTTAGCTAAACTTAAAATAAAAACAGTGAAAAGGAACTTTAGTTGAATTCAAATCCTAGTTGACAGGTGCATGTGCACCTATATATACATGATTTTTTTCGAAGTTGACAGGTGCACATGCACCCTCACTTGCGACTTAACTTCCAACATGTTAACTAATCAATTACGATAAATTGGATCGAATTTTGCTATTTCATTTTTTCAAGTGCTCAGACAGGGAAAATTCCCATATTTAGTTGCATGTCCCAACATTTTGCAGGACAATGCAAACATACATTTATCAACACATTGATACTAAGATTTTTCAGCAAAGTCAAGTTCTGCTGCTTCATTTCACTCTAGAAAAGACTACCCAACGCGTTCGCTTTCTCCCTCAAGATAAATTTCTGTATCTTGCCTGTCGAAGTTTTAGGGATATCTTCGAATATGACTGTCCGAGGTGCCATGTAGTGAGGCAAATTATCTCGACAAAAATTGATGATTTCTTGATCGTCAACACTCAATCCTTCCTTCAACTTCACAAACGCGCAAGGTGTTTGCCCCCAATGGTTATCTGGTCTTGCGACTACTGCTGCTTCAACAACTGCTGGATGACTATACAAAACTCGTTCCACCTCAACCGTGCTTATGTTTTCTCCACCGGAGATAATAATGTCTTTCAACCGGTCCTTAACTTCTATATAACCATCAGGATGTTTCACAGCAAGATCACCACTGTGAAACCATCCGCCTTTAAAAGCTTCCTCTGTTGCTTTCGTATCGTTTAAGTATCCACTCATTACTGTGTTCCCTCTAAACATGATCTCTCCAATTGTTTTACCATCAGCAGGCACTTTTTCCATGGTGGTAGAATCTCGTATATCGACTTCTTTTAAACAAAGATGTTGTACTCCTTGTCTTGCTTTCAGTATAAATTTTTCGTCAGGAGGTAAAGAATCCCACTCGGGCTTCCACAAACAATACGTACCTGGACCATATGTCTCTGTTAGTCCGTATAAGTGATTTACTCCGAATCCTAGCTCCTCCATTTTGGCAATAACTTGTGGAGGAGGCGGTGAACCACCTGTCATTATTTTAACCTTGTGAGGGAGTGGCTTTAGATCACACGGGGGCGAATTCACAATCTTGTTCAAGACAGTTGGTGCCCCGGCCATATGTGTGACTTTGTGCAACGAAATGTTTTCGAATATGCCTTTTGGAGAGACATTTCTATGACAAACATTCGTGCCACCCAATGCTGCAAGCCCCCAAACCATGCACCAACCGTTGCAGTGAAACATTGGAACGGTCCAAAGATAAACAGGGAACAAACTCATCTCGTGAAGCAAAAAAGTGGCGATGGTATTGAGATATGCACCTCTGTGACTGTAAACAACTCCTTTGGGTTGCGACGTTGTACCTGAAGTATAGTTAATACTAATAGGATCAAATTCTGTTCTCGGCCATCTTATAGCAAAATTGCTATCCCCACTTCCGAGGAGACTTTCATAGTAGTGATCGCGAGGATTTAAGTTTTCAACAGCAGGGGATTCATCAGTTTGACAGATCACAACAAGAAGAGGCAGATTCTGTTTCTTGTCAGCAAGGAGAGCTAATGCTCCTTGAGCGATTTCGAGCAATTTCTGATCCACAAATATGACCTTTGCTTCCGAATGCATCAGAAGTATCGATAACATAGCTGAATCATGGCGCGTATTTAATGTACAAAGAACGGCTCCAGCCATCGGTACTGCAAAATGTAGCTCTTGCATTGCCGGTACGTTAGGAGCCAGAGTTGCAACCTACAAAACATATTTCAAAACAAGTCAACATCATGATTCAAAACTATGTAAAATTGTAAATTTCTGATACAAATACAGATCATAGAGGAGTTGACATGGATCTTACCCCACCCCCACCTCCACCCCCGAGAAATCACGAGCAGGAGCGGAGCTAGAGTATCGGTTATAGATTGGGCCAAACCTAATAACTTTGGTCAAAACACTGTATCATTGTCTGAAAAATCCATCGAATATGTATGAATTATTAATTTAAAACTCAATAACTTAAAAAGATTAGAATCCAGCTAAGTTGCTCGAACTCTCCAAAAATGTTGCCGCACCCGTGTCGGATCCTCCAAAAATGCACTACTTTTGAAGGATCCGGCACTCACCTGGGACATTTTTGAAGAGTCCGAGCAACATAGGAATCCAGAACTCATAAGCTTTGAACTCTGACTCTACCTCCACCTAAATCACAAGATTAAAAGGTTTTCCTTTACATTCTTAAACTCCGCATCCAATCAAACTAAACACTTCCATTGAAACAAAGGGAATATTTTCTTTCTTAAATTTCGTACCAAATCAAATATACGTCCACATTAATCAGTAAACTTCTCAAATGACACAAAAGTGTAATTTTCCAGCGACGGAGATTCGAATGAACTCCCTTGCACCCCCTTACTTATAACATCACAAATTTCAAAAAGTCATTACAACAACAATAACTTACTCAGTATAGTTCCACAAATGAAATTTAAACAGCATATGACATATACAAACCTTACTCCCACTAAAAGTCATTCTTTTTTTTGAATTCCATGCCGAATCAAACCAAATATAAACCACTCAAATGTTACAACATTGAATTCTAAATTGGCACAAAAAAAATGATGCAAGCACACCTTACTCCCACTAAAAGCCCTTCTTTTCTAAAATTCCGTGTCGAATCAAACCAAATATAAACCACTCAAATAATACAAGATTGAATTAAAAAAAAAAAAAACTTACCACATCACCATGAGAAATCCCCAAATGAACCAGAGCAGAAGCAAGTTTAACACATCTATTATGAGTTTGTTCCCAATTATACTTCAAATTTTCACCATAAATAACAGAAGTTCTATCCCTAAAAACATTAGCTGCTCTTTCCAAGAAACTTAAAGGTGTCAATGGTTCAAAATTTGCACTACATTTAACAAAACCCTCCATTGATTTCCAAGATTCAGACGGATTGCTAAATTCCCTAGTCAATTTTGTAGTTTTTGAGTGAATTTTAATGGAATTGAAAAACCCAAGAACCAATTTTGAGTTTTTGAAAAATTGATTCATGATGAAAGATTTGAAAAAAAAATGGAAGACTAAAACAATGTGTGGTTAAAGATAACTTAGAATTATTATTTATAGATAAAATGTTTGTTTGGTATGAGTAATAAGAAATAATAATTTTGAGATAAGTTTGATTAAGAATATTAATTAATTTTTTAGATTATTACGATACGTTTTGATTTTTTAAGTTTTTTTATTTTATCTTTGTTCTTTATGTGTTTGACTTAAGTCTAGATATCGAGCAGAGTTTATTTCAATTTTTCAATAGTAAAAAAAAAAATTGTGCCAAACTCAATTAAGATTTGTTAAAGTATAGTTGAGCTTGAACGGAGTTGTTTGAGTTTTTCACAACACTAAAAAGAAAAAAAATTGCGTCAAATTTAATTAAGATTTGTTAAAATATAATTGAGCTCGAATGGAGTTGTTTGAGTTTTTCACAATACTAAAAAGAAAAAAGATTGCGTTAAACTCAATTAAAATTTGTTAAAGTATAATTGAGCTCGAACGGAGTTATTTCAGTTCATTACAATATTAAAAAGGAAAAAATTGTGTCGAACTCAATCGTAATTTGTTAATGCATAGTTGAGCTCGAACGAAGTTGTTTGAGTTAAAGTCAACTCTTTAATAGCCACACACGTAGTCACATGCCATTAAAATGATTGATTTTGTAACATATACTCCATAACTTTAATATATATAATTTTCAAATTATTTAAAATGTGTCTTTTTGTTCTTTTAGATAGAAAATATGTTATTTTTAATTATTTATAGACAAAGCTAGATGTTGGAACTCATAAATTCACTACTCGTATCCTTTTTAAGTTAATATTTTTTCTTAAAAGATTTATAATATATATATAAATCTTTTAAGAAAAAATATTATATTTGGATCAAAATTGTTATGCTCAGTCAAACTTGTAAACTATACTCAACTAATTTAAAATTTTAATATGCTTAATTAAATATCATTAAAAATTAAATCACAATACACCAACAAATGAGAGGTTAAAAATGGTATTACCTTAGTTAAAAGTAAAATATAAAATTTTAAAAATAATATTGCATAAATAGACATTGTAAAAACCTTTATACTGTGAAGATAAATTAAATAAAAACTTTTAGATAAGGACTACGTTAGGATCAACGTCAACATGATTTGTTTATTCCAAATATTTAATTAGGTAAGTCTTTGAATGGACAAAATGCATTCAATACATTAATATAACATATAATATGATGCAAATCTTGAATTTTTATTATTTTATATCAAATTTGGACATAAAATAATAAACCATCAAGTATAACCAAATCCAACTTAAATAAATTAAAGCTTGTAAAAAATAGCATCCAATATTTAATCGACAATTATCCTAATTATGATATAATCAACTAGGATAGAATTTGAAGTCGAGGTGTACATATATATTTTAATAGATTCCGAATTATCATATCAAATTAATTGAATTATTATAAAATGCGATTTTGATATTATGATAATTAATACTACAGTTAAACTTTGATATACGGTAAATTAATATTATAAATTAAAAATTCTTTAAAATTACAAAAATATCTAAGACAATTTAGTGAAATAAGATTATAGTGTTTATTGTTAAAATTCAAATCGAGTTAAAACTCATCTCTGACTATTCTTATTGCATCCAAAGTTCTGATGTTGTCCTTTTGAACTTCACCAAAAAAGACATGAAGAGTTCTAGACGCTATAAATATTTCATCACGTGTAATTGGTTCCAAAGGTATTGTATCGTCTTCAACTTCATTATCAACATTGTTTTCTCCGATGGTATCCATAAATTCTTCTAAGCTCTGGACCTCGATCTGAACATGTATCATTTTCAGCTGAGTAATCGAAAAGGCTATTGACATCCATTTTATTACGGTAATTGAGATTATTAAGCATGACCTCGAGTTCATGAATGTCATTTTCACAAGTGGATTCATTTTAGCTTCTGGAGGCTTCATCCCCGAACGAATACACTTTTAAAATTAATAAGTATTAATTTATCGATGAAATAATACTTCTACGAAAATAATAATATTTCATGATCCTGACAGTATTAACTTAGAGAGGTTTTTAGTATGCCTTTTCAACTATTTTGTGGAGTATTTGATATTTATAGAAAAAATAACAAAATACTAAATGTCAGATTAAAATATTTAATTTACAATCTCCTAATGTTTTGGGGCATCCCGACAATTATAATTCATATATCTTATCTTATATTATTATTATTATTATTAACAAATACTACATAAAATAATACTATTACGTAGTAGAAAATTACATCTCACATTCCTATCAGAGGATTGGCTAATGTTATTACGACTTTGGAACTTTGCATATTCTATATTGATCAAAATGTTTTTTTTAGTTGATTAACAAATGAAATTGTTTGTATTTTTTTCGAATATTTTTATATGAGTAAGATATTAGTCTAATATAAATGAAACTATTTCTTGAAAATCGCAATCATAATTATTTATGCCATGAGCATATTTAAATTGAAATTGAACAAATTATGATTATCGCTTTATCATATCATAAAAAATCAAAACTAAATTTAGAAATACTAAATCATATTGAATTAATTTTATATAATAATATAATATTTTCAAAAATCGTTAACTAAAATTATTGAACTTTTTTTTTAATATCATACTATATTCGTCCCTAATTTGAAGGAGTTGAATATTTGATTTCATTTTTATTTTTATTTTTCACTCAGTATTCGATATCTATATTGAAATTCAATTATTCTGAACTTATGTCGCATAGTGCTCCGTTTGAAAAAAAATATTCCTTATCAAAGAGTTTTTCATACTCGAATGCGAAATTGATTAAGGGAGTTGAATATTTGACGCACATAAGAACTTCACCACTTGGACATATTTTCTTCTTGACACACTCCCTTGGCAACTAAAAAGGGAAAAAAAATATATATTTACTTTTCCCTTTTCATTTATTTGCAAACATCCAAAAATTAAATTATAATTTGAAAGAAATGTTGGTTAGTCAAAATGTTCTTATAAAGTTGATAAATATACATGTCTTTTCAAAAAAAAAAAAATTAAGTTATGTCACTTCACAAATCATTAATTTGTTACTTTTCGTTTTTTTTTTAACCTTGTTTATATTCCTTTGAAATTCATTCACACTTAATAAAAAAAAAATGTGTTTTTACTAAATTTTTCTTAATCAATATATATAAATCTTATTTCTTGATTGTAAAAATTCACTTAATTAATAAAGATTAAAAATTAAAAATACCTCTTGACTTATGTAAAAAATTATCCACTTTGGATTAAATATAAATATTTAAAATATCATATAATATGAATTTTGACACGGGTAGTTCAAAATAAATATGAAGAAGCTAAGGAATTGCTATTCAAAATAGATCAAATTAATAACACAAAATCTAATCGTATATAAATGGACATAAATCATTAATATACTTCCATATGCACTAAAAGAGTAAGAAATCTTTTATCTTTTCTTTTATTTTTTTCCTCAAAAGTCAAAATATCATCAAAATACTCCTCCCCACCCCCACCCCACCACCCCAAAAAAAATCTAATCAAACAACTAATGATAAAGATATCACAAGATTATTACTTCTAACACACTAATTACCTTTTGTTGCACAACTAACTAATATAGTAATTATTATTTCATAAAATTTAATTTCTTATTATCCAACAACATGTAATTCCAATATATATTAATTATACACTTTGAAAAATTAGGTCAGGTCAATCAATCCACTTTTAGTTTGGTCTGTATTTGTAAAATTAAAATTAAAATATAAACTAGAAAGTTATCATCCATCAAAAGGTTTGAATTTGACAATGGAGTCAGTAGAGTCTGGATAGAGTAAGATGTATGCAGACGTTACTCCTAACTCTGTTGTTTCCGATAACAAAAATGCAAATTAATATGACAATTCAAAAGGTTCAAAATTATCAAATCTCATATAGACTTTGCACCAGACTACCAGATATGAAAATAACATGTTCAACATCAACTCATTTTTCCTATATTAGGCTCAAAGAATGAAACAATGTGTTCAATGAAGTGTTTACCATCTCAAAATGAATTCAATATCTAGCAGACGACGATTTTCTGCAACTGATCTCTTGCATATTCAGGCGTAGTTCACTTCACAGTCACAGACTTGCACGTAAGCTAACCATAACTTGGGCTCTCGTGGAAACAAGTTATCTCAGGATTGTTATTCCATCCACAATATGGGATAAAAATAACACTACAATCATCGTAGGATAGCTAATTCCAGAATAAGTTATTCCGCGGTTTTATCCCAACCAAACATGGGGATAAATTCATCCTAAAATTAATCTTGGGATTAGTTATGCCTCATCCCTCCAACCAAACGAGCCGTTATACTTTTATACCATGAATAGCTGCCTGGAACTCAAAATTTACACGAATTAGTTTGGTCTCATGATCGAAATACTTGTAATTCGCAGTCCATTTGCCATTGTAAGCAACAATGATGCAAATTTCACCCATCCTGCAGGCTGCATCGATCAATTGAATTAGTAGACATTACACATACGTATAAAGAACATGAAATATTCAGCAACACTAGGTTGTAGTTCAATTTTCAAGCGGAGACAAAAAAAAAACTAGGTCATTCTTCTCATATGTCCTAGCCTTGGTGGACAAAGTTATCTAGTACCTATTGTTGGTGGGAGGTAGTAGGTGTCTCGTGCAATTAATCTAGGTAGTAGGTGTCTCGTGCAATTAATCTGGTGGGACAAAGTTATCTAGTACCTATTGAAGCAACCTCAGAAATTGTTCCTTATAGATTATGTTGGTTAATTTGGGTAACAACAACATACTTACTCGTCCTAGAGATAGAAAGATTGTTTCTGAAAGACATCATTTAATACAGAAGTAAACGGGGCATGAAAAATAAGACATGGCAAATAATATAGAGGGAAAAATTACTATAATATACGACTTAAGTTTTTAATTAACCGTA